AATGCTTGCACCCAGGATTCCGGAGAGGCCTGAGATGAAGATTCAATCAGTAATTATTTATTGAGTGAATGTGTGAAAAAAAATGAAACAGCTGTATGCAAATTCTAAAGCCATTTAAAAAGTTGCCACCAAAATTTGAGCAACAGCTACACCACTACAAAATACATGAAGACATGCAAAGTTAACTACATGCCAGTATACAGCACTCACAATACATTAAGAAGAAAAGAACTCATAAATGTAGTTTGACAGTTTGTTCACAGTTCCATTGAAACTATCACCTAATAGATTCCTGCTTCCACATAAAAGATTTTATCAGTTGCCTAACGGGCTGCGCAGTGGCACTGTGGCTAGGACTGACTCACTATCACGTGTTTCTTAAGGGTGTAACACTTCCCAACTTAGTTAATCAGAAGCTTAGAGAAACACTAATGTCATAATATAAGTATGTCTTGCTCTTATTAACACAAAAATAACATAATATTAGGCAAAAATGCACTTTGTTCAAATTGAGTTGAATTTACTGCCACTCTTTACTATCTTCATTAAGATATCACAAGTGTTAGGTTCACACACAGGTCAAGGGTAAAGTCACAAACTAACATCAACTTTTAAAAACAGTTATTATTATGATTAAAAAATATTCACTTGTAATTTTAGAACTGTACTCTGAAACAGTTGGTCAAATATTTCTTAGCTTTTACAGGACAGCCTTCACTCTTGTTTGCATGTAAGTTATTTCTAACTAGTAGAAAAGTAATCAAGATGCTCAGTGGTCAAAGGGCTGAGACCTTTGTTTTGAGAGGAAAAGTTCAGCTTTCTGTTCACATGTTCTGAAAACCGATAGCTTTTTTTAGTATCATACGATAACTATTTCATGAGGCTATCCTGATAAAGAAAACTTTACATAAAACATAAATTCCTAGAGAGATACATACTGGTAATGAGAGAAGAAGCAAAAGGATTCAGGTGTAATAAACTTTTACTTTTCAACCTTGAAGGGTGAATTTCCCCCTTTCTTTCTATTAAACATAAAACTACCTGCCATATGGTTAAATGATCTTTCAACAAAACTCACAAAAGACCAATACTTATGAAGTATAAACAAAGCAAGATCTGTGAGTTTGACACTTTATTTTAATGGTTTGTTGTTATCTGAGACTGCTTTTCAGCAGCATGAGAAGTTGTTTATAATACAACCAGGACAAGAAGTAACACAAATACAGAGACCAAGTAATTTACAATTTCAGTGTAGAAAGTAAATTTTCAAATATTTTTAACTTTGAATGCCTTTTTGCCATTATTCTACTTAGAAAGTCATTTGCTTTTTAAATGTGAAAGGGAACAAAATTTTTTTCATAGTAAAAATTTATTAATTTTAATTATAAAAACACCAAAACCTCTGACAATGAGCATCAAGACCTTAATTTATTTGCCATAAAATGATTCATGTCAGATTTCCTAAAAATAAACTACAGCAGTAATAGGTTAATATAAAAATCTGCCAAAATGATTAAGTATAGAATACAGCAACTTTACTTTTAATAAATTAGTTCTTACTTCTATTCCAATTCACCAAATTACTGTATGACAAATCAGTAATGTGTATCTCTAGTGTATTGATCCTTCTCCAAGAAATTAAAGTAAAAAACAATCTGCAAATAAAATTACACTATGTTTTTAGAGCATTTATACGTATTTTTTTTCATCACACCAAGATTCCCTTTTTGTGGTCCTGTGTGAAACTCAGAGCCTCACACTTGCTAGGCAGGTGCTCTACCACTTGAGCCACTCCACCAGTCACACCAAGGTTCCCGAGCTTACTATTTACAGCTACTGAGACAAGGTAATAACTTTAAAATTTTCTCAGGTCAATCTTTAAGAATTTGGGTCTAATATTTTTTCTTCTATGCATACTACTATGTTTATAAATGGAATATATCATTCAGTAAAAGTATTTTTTGTTATAAAATTAGACAAGAAATTTTTTTAATTCTAGTGTATCATATTGCTAGGCTATTCATAATGTAGTGTGGTTTGAACCATGTAAACCTAAGAAATGAAAAAAAGTGATACTTTCAATACAAAGTATGCTTCCTTAGTATAAGAGGTAAGTACCAAGAAAGTTCATGATAGTAAAGAACAAAAATAAGATAAAGTAAACTCCTTCAATAGCCAATAAGTAGGGAGAAAAATACTTGAGTCAATCAGCTCTAGTAGCATGAAGAGAAAAATTATTGCTACTGTGGGCACTGACACTTAAGACATTTTAATACAAATACCTGATTAAAAATAAGTATCCACTATACAATAATGGTAAGAAGCTGGGTGCTAGTGGCTCACACTTGTAATCTCAGCTACTTAAGAGGGCTGAGATCAGGAAGATAGTGGTTCAAGGCCAGCCTGGGCAAAAAGTGAGACCCCATCTCAATCAACAGCTGGGTGTGATGGTGTATGCTTGTCATTCTAGCTATAGCTGGAAGTATAAAGTAGGAAGACTGCAGTCCAGACTGGCCTGGATAAAAAGGTTATTCTCCAGAATAACCTGAGCAAAAAGGGCTGAAGGCATGGCTCTAGTGTAAGCACAAAGCCCTGAGTTCAAACCCCAATACTAACCAAAAAAAAAAAAAGAATGGTAAGAAAATATCATTTTGAAATGATCATAGACTGTTCCTTTTCTGATTAAAAAAACCCAAACAGCAGGATTCAAGATTAAATAATGATATAAATGTTCCTTTCATACCTAATAGAAATGCAGTCTTCATTTCCAACATATATATTCAAAATATAAAGTTTCTCATTAAATTCAGCAATCAACCACTGTTCAGGCAACTAGATTAAGATATAAATGTGGATAAAAATGGGATGTACTATACCTTGACTTCTGTTCTCTTGAATGCTAGGAAGGTAGTCTCTTGTTTTAGTTTAGTTTCTGGTTTCTTAACCAATGGATCCTTGACAGCTGGAGCTACAGAAACAACTGTGGGGGCTGGTTTCTGTGGTGGTTTCTGAGATTTTTGAGCCTATAAAAAACAGTGGATAAAGTTAGATACAAAATATTTATTGAATACAAAAAAATACAGTAAATTATCATAGAACTAATACAGCATGTAGAAGGTGTCCTGTCCTATGTTCTGTTCTGAGACTATGCCAATGAGTAAGACCTAGTCTTATTTATAAATGGATTAAACACTTAATTTGAAAAGCAGATAAAGAATAAATAGTACCAAATGAAAAGGAAGTGATTAGAAGCAGAACATGAAAGTTCACTTGTTTAGGGAATGATATACTTTAGCCTGACCTGTTCAGAGCATATGGGCATTTGGTGAAGCAGCAGAAGGCTTCAAAGGCAGCTGAGGGTCAAAAAGAGAGAGAGATCATAAATGTGCCCTAAGGTGTTATGCACCTTACTATATGTATCATAATCTCAAAATGTAAGTGCTTGGAGTCACTGGAAATATTAAGGCAAAACAAATGAAATAAAAGTTTAGATTCCAAGTGTTAAATTATAGTAAGCAGAGTGGACTAAAGGGAAACAGAGACCTCTCAAGAGGCTAATGCAATAGATAATGATATATTTGTGGAACAGGGTAATAAGAGAAAAATAACAGATATAAGAGATATACAAGAGGTAAAAATAACAAATTCAGCAAAGGTATATATAATTAAGAGAAACATCATAAATAATGTTTTCAGTTCAGACAATTGTCAAAAAAATGGAAAACAATTTTAAGGATGTTGAATTAAAGGACCTATAGGATATCTAGTCATTTGCAGAAGCTCACCCAGAAAGAAGGTCATGGCCATAAAAAGATTTGATATAAACTAACTCACAAAAACTGGGGGAAATAAAACTTGAGGAAGAATAGTGCTTTCCTTAGCTAATGAGAGAGTTACAGTGAAATAACTTAAAAAACTATGGAGATATGCTAAAGATAGAAGACTCTCAGAAATTATTTCTTTTGACAATTATAAATTCTTAGTAGTTTCTGTTCAATGCTCTGGAATGTACCATATTGCTCACCTAAAATAATTTTGGTTGAGGTCATGTTTGGAGGGCTAGCTCAAATCATAAACTAAATAAAAATTAAACACAGATATTTCCTGTTACAAACAAAAAGGACACATAATATTCAACTTTTACTAGTCTTCACAGGAACAAAAACATTTCCCATTTCTGATTTAAGTGATTAAAACATAACTTGAATTTTTACTTTTAACTAAGAACTGTTGACCTTAAAAATATTTGTGTGGTCAGACAAATTTATGTAGAAATTCATTTGATTAACAGACATGAGAACTCTCCTACCAAGAATTCTTAATCTGCCAGGTGTGTATGCCTGTAATCCCATCTACTCAGGTGATGGAGAGTAGGGGGATTGCAGGTCTAGGTCAGCTCAGGCAAAAAGTTAGTGAAACGCCACCTCCCCCCACCCCCATCTCAACCAACAAGCCCCTGAACATAGATGCATGGGCTGTGGTCCCAGCTATGTGGATGACATAAGTAGAGGAATTGTGGTCCAAGCCTTGCCCTGGACAAAATCATGAGCTCTTATTTGAAAAATAACTAAAGCAAAAAAGAGCTGGAGTCTTGGCTAAGTAGCAGAGTTCTTACCTAGAAAGCACAAGGCCCTGAGTTCAAACTCCAGTACTACCAAGAGGGTTTGAGTTCTTAATCAAAGGTAGGGGAAGAGAGATTGCAGGAAAGATGAACAAGTCATTGAAGTAGGCAACAATTCCTTGGTTTCTAATTTGTCTATTTTTTAAATGAATAAAAGTTAGAAAACTATTCCATGTAACAAATTATGTTAGTGAACAGTAAAAAGGGACAGCACACTGGGAGAAAGAGATAAATGGCAAAGACATTTCCCTCAAAGACAATGAGGGGAAGGCTGAGGAACACAGAAATACACATGGAACAACAAATATACCCATATAAATTCTGCCTGTCTACTTGTAAATTTTTTAATTTCAACTCACTCAGGAACAGACATATTCTGTTTTCTTACCAGACTCAACAAAGACTGGGGATTTGTATCTCACCACTTTCCACAGTGCTTTCTAGTATTATAGAATGTATATAAACACACTGACATATTAGGAAGGAATATTCATATCTTGAAGTCTAACCATGTCTATATTAGAATGAGTTAAAAGCTGAGGAGAGAAGAATATATATAATATGGTCTGGTCTTTACACAAAGAAACATAAATCACACATACATACCATTTACACAATTGCTCAAAAAAATCAGCTTAATTATTTATTTTTTCAACATTGGATGTCAAAATTTTTATCTTGAAAGCCCATGTCAACAAAAAGGCTGGTTAAAGTCGAGAAAAATATGATTCCTACCATTCTTTTCATCTGTCTGGTACATCGGGCACAATACCACACCAGGCGAGGGTCATTCACTTCCTTGTCTGTCACCTGGGTTTGTGGCAATCTTGGTGGTAGAGATTATGGCACTCCTGACATTCTACTAATTGATTACCAGATGTCACCGTCATTTGTCTAAGAAAAACATATAAGTAAACATTAGACAATCTAAAAGTTTGTCCTATGAAAAAGAAAAAGAAACATGTAGATCATTTCTCCTTTGTTTTTGGCAGTGCTGGGTTTGAATTCAAGGCCAACACTGCCACTTGAGCCACTCTGCCAGCCCTGCCATTTAGATTGTTACCAATATACAACTGCACAAGTGCTTCATTTCTTTTAAAAGTTATGGACATTCAATAATAAAAATGTATAACTAATTTTGCTTATACTCTAATACTCATTTCTCATTGTAGGTTTTCTTATTTCTCCTATGTGGTAGATTTTAACTAGTCCTCCAAGTATTAATTCCTTTATGTTAGTTAGCTGCATGTTATTTCTACCACCATCATTAGTTAATTACCTAAAGTTGAGAACTGAATCTAATTTATAGTACGTAGACTATCATTGTATAGACAGGGTGTTTAATACATGTCTGACAAACTGAACGGGAATGCAGTAATGTGTATCAAAAAAGGGTAAGTTCTGGGGAGGGATGTGGCTCAAGTAGTAAAGTGCCTGCCTGGCAAGAAAGGACCTGAGTTCAAGCCCTAGAACCATTAAAAAAAAAAAGAAGAGGAGCCAAGATGGAGGATTGCTGATAGATCCCAGAAAACTGAACTCTCACAGCCTTAAAGAAACTTAAAGAAAACCTTAGGTTCGTGGTTACAAGGGGAGTGGAATCTGGCTACTCCATCAAATAAGAGGTCACTGATGTTTACACAATCCAAATCTACAATGACAACCTTTAAATTAGCTTTTTAAAGCACAAAATAGTCCCAAACATGTGGGCACTTGGGGCTGCCACACCACAGCACCAGTGGGGAGCAGTTTCTTTTTTCTTTTTCTCTCTCTTTCTGAAGAGCAAAAAAATCAATGTGGAGAACTGCAGACAGAGCCCTAAACATATGTGGGTAGTCCTGGACCCTGGAGGAAAGGATCAAGAATCTCTGATGCAGAACCTCTCACTGCTGTTTGTAACCCCAGCCTGCAGACTTCCAATAAAACCAAGAGATTCCTACAACCCATTTAGTTGAGCTTAACTGCATCTTCCATTTTTGAGAAAACTGCATAGTCCAGTTCAACTTGTGGGCACTGATTGCACCCTTACTGGACAAAGCTGTTGGCCTAATAAACAGAATGAATCTCCAGCACTGCTTGGTGGGGGTAGGGCAGCTCAGCTCTCCACCACCTAAGAGGAGGCAATAAGTAACAAGCTGAAACTAACTGCCTTCCCAGAGAAGAGCTTTTGGGCATGACCACTTTGGAGAACTCAACAATCCAAGCAATCTGACTCTGACTTCCCTCCTCCCCCTCAGAGGAGCCTGGGCTTAAATATCCTGAGTGGACTGCCCCCAAACTTGTGCAGTAGAGAGAGGCACCAGGGATTGCACCCAGTCCAGGATATCTACCCTAAGGAGGGGCAGGAACCCAGAGAAAACCCCTGTCTAAAGGGATAGCACCTGGAATGAGAGTGGCAATCTAAAACCTAGGGATTAGAAATTGGAGGGGAGTGCCCAGTATACTAATTAAACACAAAAGAAACCCACTCCTCTACAAAAGGAAGAAATGTGCACCACACATATATGTATGATATATATATGATAGATATATATATATCTATCATATATATAATATGGACCATACACATTATATATGCATGTATTTTACAGTCTGCTGATAATTTAATTTGCCTAGCCCTCTTTTGTTCCATATTCTTTTCTCTCACTCCTTTCTGTTTTTTTCCTTTACCCTCATCTTCTTTTCTTTCTCTGCCCCTCTTTCTTCCCACTGTCCCCATGTCCTCTGCCCAAACCACTCACCAAGTAGTCTATTATACCATCCACATACATTACTCCCATCCTTTCTATCCCTTTGCAATCCCTGACAATAGCAGCCTCTTCCACAATGACTAAACTATACCTTTGCACACATTAGGGTCTTATTACCCTTTAGTCCCCAAACTCAGACCTCTCTCTCCTTCTCACCATTTTCCTTCTTTCTCCTCATCATTTTTATTACCCAAGTTTTAATCTCTATGCAAACAACTTTTATTTCCTCAATAATAGATAATACTGCCAAGGTTTTTTTTTTTTTTTGGCAGCACTGGAGTTTGAACTTAGGACCTAATACTTGCTAGGCAGGCACTCTTACAACCTGAGCCACTCTGCCAACCCTTCTACCAAGGGTTTTATATACCATATAAATAACTGGTTTGGCACTGAATCTGTGAAATTGTTATTGCTAAGTTATACCTCCAGGTTAGTGAACAGAAATGATATAACAACCTAGCTAACAGCCGAGCTAGCCAGAGCAGAGAAATTAATTCAAGGGAAAGATAAGAGGTGATTAAAACTCCCAAACTTCTACTCAATAACACATGAGCAAACCTCAAAATAGAAGCATGAGGAATAGAAGAAGGCAGAGGAATATGACTCCTCAAAAGGTTACAAATCATATAGTAGAGGATTTGGTAGTGAAGGTGAAGAAATCTCAGTTTCTGAGGTCAATAGAAGGATGATAAGAATGTTTAAGGAACTTAATGAGGGTGTAAAAAAACAACTCAATGAATCCCAAGAGAATATGGATAAAAAAAGTGAGAAGACACAAAAACTAAATGAACTCAAAGAGGATTTAAACAAACATCAGAATGAAACCAAGGAAATTTACAAAAAGAGATATAAATGAAATAAAGGAGGCAATAAAGGCAATAAATAAATAAATGAAAGAAGAGCTTAACAAAGATATGGAAAGTCTCCAAAAAATGCACCAAACGGAAACCCAGGAAACAAAAATAGAGCACACTGGAACAAGAAGGCAGAATTTCAGGGCTTGAAGACAAAATAGATATTAAAGAGAAAAAGAAAACAGGAGAATACATAGGGAAGAGATTGAATAGTTATGAAAGGAATATTGCAAGAACTCTGTGACTCCATCAAAAGACCAAATCTACAAATCATGAGCATTAAATAACAGCAGAAAACTTCCCAAATCTCAAAAAAGAGAAGCCCATCCAGATCCAGAAGGCCTCTAGGACACCAAATAAGACGTGACCAAAATAGCATATTATAGTTAAAACAATTAGCACAGAAAACAAGGAAAGAATATTGAAGGTTGTAAGAGAGAAAAATCAAATAACAGAGAAGTGAACCCTTCAAAATAACAGGTATTTCAACAGAATCCTTAAAAGCAAGAAGGGCAAGGTATGAGATATTTTGAGCACTAAAAGAATACAATTATCAAATCTAAATAGTCTACCCAGCAAAGCTATCGTTCATAATTGAAGGAGAAATAAAAACCTTTCATGATAAACAGAATAAAAAACAATACATGATTACTAAACCAGCACTCCAGAAGATACTCAAAGGTATCACAGAAGATGAAAATAAACGTAGCTATGAAAGGATGGGAATGAATAAATCTCAAGGGAAAAGCAGACAAGCAATTATAGAGTAGCATAAAATCAAGTGTACACACACAAACCTTTAGCACCCAAAACAACTACATGGCAGGAATCACCATATACCTCTCAATATTAACAGTATATGTTAATGGCTTCAGTCTTCCATCAAAAGACATCAATTGGCAAGCTGGATTAAAAAGTAAGACTGATAATTTGTTGTTTACAAGAAATCCACCTCAAAGACAGAAACAAATGTTAGCTTAGGGTGAGAGAGTAGAAAAAGATTTACTAAGCAAATGGCCCCAGAAAACAGGCAGGAGTAGCTATACTTAGATAAAGTAGATTCCAAACCTAAATTAGTCAGAAGAGACAAAGAAAGTCACTTAATAATAATAAAAGGAGCATACTTACAAAAGCATCAAGAGGAATTTACAACTGTTAACTCATACACACCCAATGTTGTTACAGCCAACTTCATTAAACATACAATAATGGACTTAAGAACACAGATAGACGCCAACACAGTGACAGTGGGAGACTTCAATACTCCACTATCACCAATAGATAGGTCATCCAGACAAAAAGTCAACAAAGAAACTTTAGAATTGAATGACACCACAGATCAAATGAACCTGACAGATAACTACAAAGTAGTCTATCCTGCAACAGCATAATATACATTCTTCTCAGCAGCTTATTGAACTCTCCAAAATAGAAAATATTTTGTCACAAAGCAATGCTTAATAAATATAAGAAAATTGAAATAACCCCCTGAAAACTCTGACCACAACAGAATAAAACTAGAACTGAACAACAAAAGAAACAGCAGAAAATATTCAAACACCTGGAGACTAAAAAATATGTTGCTCCATGAACACTGGGTCATGGAAGAAATAGGGAGAAAATCAAAAAGTTTCTGGAATCTAATGAAAATGAAAGCACAAATTACCAGCACCTATGGGATACAGCAAAGGTAGTGCTAACAGAAAAGTTTATAGTCATCAATGCATGCATTAAAAACACAGAAAGACCTCAAGTAAAATGATGCATCTCAAACTCCTAGAAAAACGAAAACAAGATAAACCCAAACAAGCAAGAGAGAGAAACTAAAAATAAGGGTTGAAATCAGTGAAATAGAGACAAAAAAAAATACAAAGAATCAATAAAACAAAAGGGTGGTTCTTTGAAAAGATAAGTAAGATTGATAAACCCCTAGTAAACCTGACTAAAATGATGAGGAAAAGGTCCAAATTAATAAAAGTAGGAGCAAAAAAGGGGACAGCACAACAAACACCAACAAAATCCAGGAGATCATTAGGGAATATTTTGAAAACATATTCAAATAAATTGAAATATGTAGAAGAAATGGATAAACTTCCAGATATATATGACCACCCAAAACTGAACCAAAAGGATATCAATCACCTAAAGACATCTATTACAAATTATGAAATTTAAGCAGCTATGAAGAATCTCATCCCCATTCTCCCCAAAAAACGGTAGTACCTGATAGATTCATTGCTGACTTCTACCAGACCTTTAAAGGGAAGGAACATTGCCACTCATTCTATGAAGCCAGTATTACACTCATCTCAAAACCAGACAAAGACACAACAAAGAGACTTATAAACTAATCTCTAATTAATTTAGATGCAAAAATTCTCAATAAATACTAGCAAATCAAATTCAACAACATATGAGTAAGATCATACACGATGGTCAAGTTGGTTTCATTCCAGGGATGCAGGGATGGTTCAACATATGCATATTAACAGAAGCATAGACAAAAATTATATGATTATCTCAATAGATGCAGAAAAAGCCTTTGAAAAAATTCAATATCCTTTCACGATAAAAGCTCTGATGAAACTAGGAGTAGAAGGAATATACCTCAATATAATAAAAGCTATATATGACAAGCCTACAGCCAACATCATACTAAATGGGGAAAAACTGAAATCATTTCCTCTAATGTCAGAAATGAGACAAGGATGCCTACCCTCTCCACTTTTTATCTAACATAGTCTTGGAACTCTTAGCAAAAGCAATAAGACAGGAGGAAGAAATAAAAGGAAATCAAATAGGAAAAGTAGAAATCAAACTATCTCTATTTGTAGATGACAATATCTTATACCCAAAAGACCTGGAAAACTCCACCAAAAAAACCTAGACAACATAAATATCTTTCTATTCAAAATCAATTTACAAAAAACAGTAACCTTTAAATGTACTAACAATGAACAGACTGAGAAAGCATATAGGAAAACAATTGCACTTACAATATAGTCTTAAAAAATATCTAGGAATAAACTTAACCTCTACAGTGAAAACTATAAACCATTGAAGAGATTGATGAAGACTTCAGCAGATGGAAAGATCTCCCAGGCTCATGGATTGGCAGAGTCAGTATTACCAAAATGAATACATTCCCCACAGCAATCTACATGTTTTATGCAATACCCATCAAAATTACAAAGACATTCATTACAAAGAAATGAATGTCATTTTTCAATGAACCCTAAAATGCATATGGAGGCACAAATGACTGCAAATTGTCAAGGCAAAATTGAGCAAAAAGAGAAACTCTGGAGGTATCAAAATATCAATTAGAAGTGGATTAAGGACCTTAATTTAAGACCTGGTACTTTGAAGCTACTGAAGGAAAAAGTAGGGAGTACCCTGGAACTTATAGGAATAGGCAATCACTTTCTAAATAGTATCCCAATGGCTCAGCAACTAAGAGAAAAGATTGATAAATTGGACCACATGAAACTAAAAAGCTTCTGCAGAACAAAAGAAATACTCACCAAGTTGAAGAGGCAGAATATGAGAAAATTTTTACCACCATACATTTGATAAGGGATTAATACACTGAGTACATAGGGAGTTCAAAAACTAAACTCCCAAGGAATGAGCAACCAAATTAAGAAATGGGAAAATGAAGTAACAGAGCTTTTTCAAAGGAAGAAGTCCAAATGGCCAAAAACACATGAAGAAATGCTCAATATCCCTGGCCATAAAGGAAATGCAAATCAGAAAAATTGCTGCTGGGCAACGGTTACTCACACCTGAAGTCTTAGCTACTCAGGAGGTAGAGATCAGGAGGACTGAGGTTCAAAGTCAGTCCAGGCAAACAGTTTGTGAGACCCTATCTCAAAAACTAGCCAAAACAAAAAAGGGCTGGCAGAGTGGCTCAAGTGGTAGAGTGCCTGTCTAGCAAGCATGAAGCCCTGAGTTCAAACCCCAGTACCACAAAAAAAAAACCCAAAAAACAAAAAACTCCTGACATGAAGAAGCTCAAAATCCAATTACTTCTGAGAATGTACCTTCTATTAAGAAGAATTATCTGTTTTTATAATTACACATCTAAGTTTTAAAATACCACACAAAGTAATCTATATTCCTTTCATTTCCGCTATCTTTATGGAACTTTTCATGGTGTTGTAGGAATGACTTGTATCAGTTTATTTTATAAGTGCTGTCAACATTCAGGGAAAAAAGCAATTACATACTTCTTAAAAAGAAAGTTGGAAATAATTGTGTCTGTGAAACAGATTCTTCTTCACTAAAGAATAATGCAATAATTACTTTCCTTTTAGAACCCCAGAATATAGAAAATGTTACTATAGCATAACAAATTAAAGAAGCCAAAGTCATGAAGATAAAACATTTGAAAAATTTCAAGATGTTAAATTGCTACATGGCCAGTTATAAGGCATAATCTACTTTGTTCTTCTTAATCCCCAAATAATAAAAACAAAATGGAAAATGCCCAAAAATTGCAATGATTTTTAAGGGAAAGAGATACTGAGTAAGAAGGGATGGTTTATTCTTTTAAAGAAACAAAAAATTTGTGGCAAGGTACAACTTACCTACAAACAACACAGGCTAATCCCATCTCCATGGCAAAATCATCAGCACTAGTTTCCTCAAAACTGGAAAGGTCAGCCATAGCTAAATCCTTGCTGGTCTGGACAGTAATGGGAGAAGATCGTGTCTCTGGTTTCTCCAATCTAGGTTTCTTTGGAATATCAGCTCCTTCAGTAATGTCTGATTTCATCTATTAAAAGTATCCAAACAGAAAATGATAAAGTAACAGAGTAGAATAAACTTTACATCACTGAGAAATAAGATGGACAATATGCAATGACTAAGTCCATTTTACAGGTGTTTTCACATAGTTAGATGTGCACATTAAAGATCTGTAGAAGAATTATAACTAATTTATAATCACTATATTAAAAGAAAGAAGCAAGACAGAAATCAGTAAGTATATACCTGTATTTTTCTTTGTATTCTTCTATCAAAGAATTCTGAAAGTTCAGTGGACTTACTTATACTTTTTTTTTTCCCTAAGATGCTTGGACTTGAGAACCCATAGCACTAACAAGGCTATTTTTATTTTAAATTATGACTACTAATATGAAAAAAGTAAATAATGAGCTATCTCCCAGTCATCCAGACCTAACATACTACCCTATAGGCTTCAAAGTTATTCTGGCTCCATTAAGATTTAAATATTGCAGATAAACATGTTGGACTGACAAAAGATAAATTCTGATGAAACATGGAGAATTTAGAAATCTTGTGCTTTGTTGGTGAGAGTATAAATTTAGCACAGCCATTCTGGATAGCAACGTGGCAATATACAGTAATGTTGAAGATGTACATGTCTATTACATCCACTTATAGGTATACATCTTACAGAAAATATTAACATGTCAAAAGAGACATGTAAAACCTAATTGCTCATCAATAGGGGAACAGATAAACTGGTTTATTCATAGAATGAATATTATATGACAGTTAAAAATGATCTAGATCGACACGTATCAACATAAATTTCAAAATCACATTGCTGAGCAGAGAAGTTACCAAATGATAAATATACACAGTGTGATATCATTTGTATAAATTTAAAAGCACAAAAATAATGAATGGCCACTAATTAGTAAAAGTATGAAAATGTATGGGATGATATATCCTACCTTGAGGGAAAGGGTTATTGAAGATATTTTTTAGTGTAGTTTTTATTAATTGCTAAAATTTTACTTATCATTTGCAGATATCATTCCAAACACACAATCCAAAAATTATCTGTGGCCTGTTAACATGCTTGCAACCATGTAACAAAGTTTATGTTTAGTCATTTACATCTTTATTCTTCCCTTTCCATTTTTACTTCTCAATAACCATTCCAGCCAGAACCTCTGAGTTATGAATTATTTACATTCACAATTACTGTACCCCAAGCCTCAAATATTTGTTGACAGTGATCTCAGTAAATAGTTAATTTTTACTCATTTTTCAGAAGGTCAAGTATCAAAATAAATTTACTGAGTAATTATGTACAATATCTACCATTATATGAAGGAAGAAGATATAAAACATTGTTTCTTTTTGCCTGTGGAACAGCTGATTTACTTTATCATAAACTAAATTAAAATAAAAACTTACTTTATCAGCAGGTCTCTTTTCAGCTTCTTTCTTTACTTTTTCAGTTGTGAGGACTTTGCCATTATTATTGCCAGAAGGAAGAGTAGATGATGTTTTGGGCTCTTGTTTAATAGAAATAGATTTTGTGTTTGAAATTTTGGGTGGCTCCACATCCTAAAGGGTAAAATAAAAATACACCAGTTCTTCAATATTCAGACTGCCCAATATGTCATAAACAATATATAATAAATTTAAGTAATTACAGTTAAAAACTGAGATAATTTGTTATGACCAATGTAACATGTTTTCCTTAAATAGCTTTACTCAGAAATAACTGATATACAAACTGCACCTATTTAAAGTGCAAAGTTTGATAAGTTTTGATATATGTATACACCCATGACACCATCACTGCAATAAATATAATGAACATATGCATCATCACCCCACATTTCTTTGTAGTACTCTGTAATCACACTCTCGCAGGTATATCTCCCAGAGAAACTTGGGCTCTGAGCCTGGGCTTGACTATGTGTTGAGCATAAGATTCTGATTAGACTTGAGCTACTACCCTCTCCTTCTCAGTTTAGTACTGGTTTACAGACCTGGGAGATTTGGAGTTTCAGGACTAGTTATGCTAGACAAGTTAGAAAGACTGTCTTAATGGGCATTAGTGTATATAAATAGGCATTGTCATTCACTAAAAGCCTATTATGTACCAGGTAGACACTATTCTTGGTGATTTACATACTTTATCTGTTTGAATTTTCATAACTTTACAGAGTAATTTGCATTTTTTAATGAATGGACAGAGGTAGGGTAAAATGATGTTACTATATATTCAATTGTCCTTATTATGAAATAAGGAAAATAAACAATACCTATCTCAAAGGATCATTACCACAAATAAAATTATTTATGTACTTAAACCACTCAGAAATGTCCTGGGATACAGTAAAGATTCAAGACAGTTATCCATCATCACCACAAAACTACAAGAGGTAAGCTGAAATTTTAAAAAGGTCTCTCTGCTTCCAAAACATATAAAATGTACACTGACTGCTTTGGAGATTGGAGCTACATACTTCTGACTTTATCTAAATATCCTACCCACATTTAATTTCTTTTGTTGAAATAGCCTGATTCTTTTATTTCATTTATTTTTTGTTCTTAAAACATTAGAGAAAAATTAAATGTTTATGGTTATATTCAGCAACTTAAAAATTCTGATCATAAAGAATGGAAATTGAACAAGTAAACAAATGGGTTTCTGTACATATCAAGTAAAAAGACAATATATTCCCCCAGACCAAACTAATTTTTCTATGTGTTGTAGCAGTTCTCTGAAAGCTTGAGGGAAGAAAAGAAAATTAAAAGAATATAATTTCTTTGTGACAGAGGAGATATCATTTTGGCATAAATTGTTTTGAGATGGTCTAATGTTACTACTGTACTACTGCAGACATTACAAAACTCTTTTCAAGCACTTTATTCACCTAGGTACCTTTTGAGTTGGCCGGTAACTTGAATCAATGCCCCGAGCCAAGGATTCATCAAGCAGTGCTTTTAGCTTTTCAGCAGAATCTTTACTTTTTGAATGTAAGAAACCTAATGCTTTTAAAAAAATGGGATCAAGTTCCAAGTTCACAGTAGCAGCCATTGTAAACACCTGAAGAAAAAAAGGAGTAAAGTACTTTAGAGACAATGTACAATTATCTGTCAAAGTTTCATTTTGTTGTTTTGTTTATAATACATAGTACTGTGCACATGATACAAAAGTTAAAATGTTTGAAAGGTTATTATAGATAAAAGTAAATTTCTTTCCTATCCTTGACCAGCATTATCTATTTCTTTTCCTCTGAAACAACCAGTGTTATCAGTTTTCTGTGTATTCACATTCATGACAAAGTTTTTTTTTTTTTTTTTTGAGACAGGGTCTTGCTATATAGCCTAGGCTAGTCTGGAACTCCTGTGTAGGCCAAGCTGGTCTTGAACTCAGTCTCCAGAGTGCTAACGATTACAGGTGTACATCAATACACCATGCAATGGCAAACTTTTAAATCCAGATCAGCTTCTTTCCTGCCCCAGAGCATCTTCCCAGCTATTTTAAACAATACATATGCAGTTTCAGTACATAGGCATATGACTGTGTTTAGGTCAAGTACATATCAAAATCTCTCCTCTTACATCAATTTCCAGAATAAAACCAGAGATTTTGTGCATACATGGTGGGGGGGTGCAGGGTCACAGGACACCAGTGGTTAATGGGTGCGCTAAGTGGTGTCTGTCGAGGTCACTACTGCAGCTTTTGTCTCAGATTTTTTTGCTTCTTAGTTCTCTTTTCCAATTCTGAATATCTCAGAAAACATGTTAATGATAGCCTTATGATACACATTCAGATTGTGTTTCTCTTGCAATAACTTATTTTAACAAAGTAAGGTCTCTGAAGGATGGTTCTATTATACATATCCTAGGGCCTAGAATGCTGCATTCTAAGGAGCTTAAATAGTGGCTGAGACGCTTGAATCATACATCAAAGGTTTATGAAATTCTAAAACATTAGAAAGTTTTGTTTTCAGTTAATATCAATGTTATCAGGTGGTTCTACTTCTGGTTGTCACTTTTTCAAATACCTCTCCAGGCAAGGAATTATTAAAATAAAAATGTAATAATTGCATTCAATCCTTTGATCAATTTTCTACAGCTTGAAATCCTCCTCTATCATTGAGGTTAATATTATGATAATACAACACACTCACACTGATATAGTTAAGGATCTCCCATTTTTAGGGGCTTATAACACCACTGAAACTTGCAGAAGGTTGGATCTTGGCATATGATAGCACAGGCTGAAAATGGAGTCTATTTATTCCTTCTTTCTCTACTTCTTCATTTCTCTCCAAGTCTGATAGGATACACACACACACACACACACACACACACACATACACACACTCTCTGGTTTATTTTTAAGTTTCCACAAAGGTTTTTGTTGTAGATTTGATAATTTCAAAATCATTGTTAATTTCCTGCTCTACTAAAATAGTTCTGACTCACTTATACAAATGAGTCCAAATGCTAATGAAAAAGTAACTGAATGTCAAACAGTGGCATTAAGAACTTAACAAAATGGAGAAGTAGCCCTAGTAACCTTCTGAAATTGTATTATTACATACATCATCTCTACAAAAGGACAGGTTCAGAAAATTTATTTTAAAATTTATCCATGGGGCTGGGGATCATATATATTCTGAGAAATAAAAACAAATCCTCAATATAATTTCCATGATTAAAGTTATAAACCTGCAACTTCTCAAGAGTATGTAAGATGAACACAGCCTAATTTTTCTATTGGCTTAATTTTATACAGCTAAAGGGTACAGCAGTTTATTTACACAGAACAAGTTGTTTTATTTGGTATTGATCAAAGGGCTGATATCTGGAAGAATCCTTAACACGTACTAGGGAAAAAAAAAAACCCATCACTTTAAATTTCCATGCTGAAAAGCAGAAACAGAGTATTGTTATATACTCCTATAATAAGAAATAAAAGTTTTACTTAGATTAGGTGACAAGAGTAAGCACCTAGATTATATAAGACTACAGGAGTTGTCAACATCAATATTCTAATGAAAACCTTGGATTTAGTTCTTTTTTATACAACCATATAATGATAAAACATGACAGGCTTTTTATCCCTGCCCTAAATCACTGACACGACTTCAAGCCTAGTGGTACACATGGTGGAATACAGGAAGAAAATATTAAAATTTCTTTTTTAATTAAAAATACTATCATAGAGTGATGTTGTACACACAAAAATGACTAAATATATATATATGGAAGCAGGCTCAAATTTTTTATCTTATGGCATAAGTGAGAAATATGTTAAAGCCTCTGCTCCAGCAACTTCCAAATTCCCTCTTTCCTATTAAAACATCATAGCTGCTTTAAGGTACAAACTATCTTCCCCTTGCAAATCCCTCCAGTGCTCTCATTAGCTCAGTTCTTGTTCTCCTCTATATAAACTTCAATGCCAGCTCCTACACATTCCCCTACATTTTTCTCAAACACTCCTTTTCTCTTTACCTTTAATATTCCTCCAGTGACATCATGTTCCTTACAAGCTCCTTCAAGGTAGAATTCCTTTGAGCTGTTCCCTTTGAAAGACTACTGAGAACTTATTGTATATTGCTGCTTTTAGAAAACTATTTCCAATACCACTCTTGGGGATATACCCAAAAGATTGTGACACAGGTTACTCCAGAGGCACATGCACACCCATGTTTATTGTGGCACTATTCACAATAGCCAAGTTATAGAAACAGCCAAGATGCCCCACCACTTTCGAATGGATTAAGAAAATGTGGTATCTATACACAATGGAATTTTATGCAGCCATGAAGAACGAAATGTTATCATTCGCCAGTAAATGGATGGAATTGGAGAACATCATTCTGAGTGAGGTTAGCCTGGCCCAAAAGACCAAAAATCGTATGTTCTCCCTCATATGTGGACATTAGATCAAGGGCAAACACAACAAGGGGTTGGACTTTGAGCACATGATATAAGCGAGAGTACACAAGGGAGAGTTGAGGATAGGTAAGACACCTAAAAAATTAGCTAGCATTTGTTGCCCTTAATGCAGAGAAACTAAAGCAGATACCTTAAAAGCAACTGAGGCCAATAGGAAAAGGGGACCAGGAACTACAGAAAAGGTTAGATCAAAAAGAACTAACCTAGAAGGTAACACACACGCACAGGAAATTAATGTGAGTCAACTCCCTGTTTGGCTATCCTTATCTCAACCAGCAAAAACGCTTGTTCCTTCCTATTATTGCTTATATTCTCCCTTCAACAAAATTAGAGATAAGGGCAAAATAGTTTCTGCTGGGTATTGAGGGGGTGGGGGGAGAGGGAGGGGGTGGTATGGGTGGTAAGGGAGGGGGTGGGGGCAGGAGGGAGAAATGACCCAAACCTTGAATGCACATATGAATAATAAAACAATTTTAAAAAATTGCTTTAGCAAACATTAAAAAAAATAGAAAACTATTTCATGGCAACCACTCGTCAACATCTCTTGAAATTCAAACCTGAGTTCTTCATTATTAGTCAGGTACAAAAGCTATCATTTCCCTCTCTTCCTGCCATCATCTTTGACAATGTAACATCTATTAATGATTTTCTCCAACTTCCTACACTCAATTTATTCAAATCTTCTTCTTCATCAGTGAAATTTGAAACGTGACACAACTTTTTCTCTTTGAGTACAATCACTTTAGTCTTTGGCTACAATCTTCCATCACTCTCTGTCTTCCACTATTTTAACATAGAAACCTCTTCAGGGTACCAAGGCAATTCTTCATTTACTTATTTTGCCTTTCTTTATTCCCATTCCACCTGTTCTTTGAATACGTAGACAACTCCAATTTCTTGTCCCCTATGCTTCCTTCTTACTGGCACTTAAATGCCTCAATTTCTTTCCCTCACCAATCAGAAATCAGCAGTTGAGACTAAAATAAAATACTCATGATTATATGTCTTTTCTTTTTATTTTAGTTTTCTACCTTATTTTTCTCTACTTTCTTATGGTCTTCTCTGTTTTCTATTACTTTTCCTTTCTTATTGGCAAATACACATAGAGTGAATGAAATTTCGTTTCTTTCTACTGAAGTCATAAAGAGGTCAACAACTTCTTTATAGTATAATTTGTCACTCTATCTCCAAAAATTCTTTTCTCTAAAAATAATCTATTTCCAAAATTATTTTCCTAGATTTATGCAAATCATTTTATTACCATACAATTATTTTCCAGTATATTTCAAAACCTATGATCAAATTTACTATAAAAGAAATATGTATTTTTTTACTATAAAGTTCTAGAAAATAAAGTCCTATGTATGTGTATAGACAGATATATGACAGAAAAATTAACACAAAGGAAATTTTGTATGTGAAATGCAGATTTTATTTAAAAACCTAAGTGTTAATTTTAAAAATGTAGGAAAATTAATATTTACCGTTTTAAAATTGCCCATGACCTAAGAAGTAGTAGTATTGGTGTTCGTAGAATTGAATTTTAGATCATACTTGGAATTTTCTGTAGCAGATGTGTATGTAACACACAAACTCCCACTACTAAACAATTATCTTTTTTTATTCAACACTTATCCTTATTGTCTTTTGCTATTTTACTTCCTGTAAACACTCCATTGTCCAACCATTCAATGACTTTCTTCCAGTACTCTAGGCACCCTTGTCCCACTGCCCTATACTTTCATCTACTTGGTTTACATCCACTTTGGTAGCCATGTTCACCCTGCCTGCACACAAACTCTAAGCGTAGCTGAGAGCAATACAATATACTCTATCTTCATAGTTACCAGTCTCATCTTGGCACTCAACACAACATATAACAGCTTACCATTATCTATTTTCTGTCCGACTACAACAGTCTAATTTGTTTCCCCACAACCATTTTTGCCCCCTCCAAATTTTTTCATATCACCAATTTATTTAAAATACTTATTTATCATTGCTAATGGTCTGAAAATTAAAGAACAAGATTGTTAAGAAAGTCTCCAATGCCTTACATAATTTAGTATTACAGTAGATCCATGGTATTTCCTAGTATCTGGTTCCAGGGAGGCTATCAGTGAGGGAAAATCATGAATGCTCCAGATGCATAGAGGTCAGTACTCTAAAATTACTTCAATTTACCTAAACCATATGTACAGTAGGTCTGAGTATCCATAACTTTGAAACCACATGAAGTAGACTTACTTTATTATCACAAAATTACTGTTGTATACATTAATAATGGTCATCAAAAACTACTTCATACTCTTTTAAATCTCTAATACTATGGACGCTTGATTCATTTTTCCTGTAATAGTGCTCACCTTCCTCAAAAAAACATGCCATCTTCCAACAAATTTTCACTTAAATTAAGCACAATATGTGCCCCCTTTGGCTTGGGAGGATTACCATAGGTTTTATCTTGTCTTCTGCACATTTGCTTTGGGAAGGCCTATTTTCACAAAATTAAGGAACAAGGAACCAGCAAGTTTCACACAATTTAAACACAACTCAAAGTAACACAGGATTGACTGAGAGCTTCTCTGTATTTACTAAGAGTAATGCACATGTGAGAATTTCTGTTTTTGAAATATCTTTTGATTTTTAATTTATTTTTTATCATGCTTTGTCAAAACTGTGTGTAATAATAAACTGAGAATAATGTGGGCTTACTGTACATGTAAAGCATTCACAACAGTACCTAGCACACGATACAGGCTCATTAAATGTTACCTTCTATCTTTGACAATTCTTACTGTTAGTCTCACACCTTATTTTAAGTTCTCCAATATATCACACCCTTTCTTACCTCAGTGCTTGAGTAGAAAGTGTGCCCTATCCGCTTCTTAGTCATCCTTTAAGTCTGCACATTTTCTCAACAAAATCAGAAGTCTTACTGTTACGTAGTTCAAAAACATTCTGTATTTATTGGCAATATTCACCACAGTATTAATTGCGCAAAAAATATCTGCCTTTCTCATTAGAAAGTACATTTTATGAGGGCAGGCTCTCAGTACATGCTGACCAAATAAATACATGCTAGGCGCTTCCTCTTTCATAAAACTTTCTCTTCCTTCAAATTCTGTTATACACAAGTTTTTGGCCTGGTGGAATGGCTCAAGTGGTGAGAGTACTTGCCTAGTAAGCGTGAGGCCCTGAGTTCAAACCCTAGGGCCACAAAAAACAACAACAAAAATCAACTTTTCTAGCTTTCCTCTTCTAACTTTGACTACTCTTTTCTGGATCACCTCATCCTTGTGGCTCTTAGTATTGCCCCACTATCTGTCCTGGGCTATGTAGTTCTGCTGCCAACTTCTTTGGCAATCTTATATATAGTATGTTTTCAAAGATCATATCTAGGCAGATAATTTCATGTTTTCTCCATTCCCACTTCTCTTAAGCTTGAATCCTATATTTGCAGTTGCTTAGTAGACATGTTTACCTAGTGGCCTAATCATATCTCAATTTCAGTTATAACTAGCATTCATATTATGAATGTCCCCTCCTTGTCTAATGTTTTATTTCAATAAATGACATGACTCTCTTCAGGGCCAAGGCCCTCACTGAATCTTTCCCTACTCTTTATATCCAAACAATCAGCATGCCTTTCCCATGTATTCTGACTCAGCAACATTTTTCATGTCTGATTTTTTAATTGTACTGCTACTATTCAAACTCAAGATTTTGCTTGTCTAAATTGTAACAATAATCTAGTTATTCTCCTTAACTTCAACACTTATCACATTATTTTCTGAAACAAAGTTTTCCCCTTTTCCATTTTTCTTATTTTCTTGCTGAAAAATTAAGGTCTCTCATTGCCTTCAAAGTTAAGCCCAAATTTCTTAGTCTAGCATTTCAGAACAATTATTATCTGGCACAAAACCTATTATTCTTCTCTTGATATTCCTTCAGGAAAGCCTTTAGCTGGTCTTGCCACTCATTTTTTGTCTTACTGAGAAGCTTTTTAATCCATTTTTATATTTCCAAATACTATCAAGACCCTGTTCAAATATTACTTCTGTTCGAATATTACTTCTCATGAATACTCTGACAGCTGCTGTGCTTCCCCACCCCAAATCCTATTAGTAATCTCTCCCTTATAGGATATCTTCTAGTAGTTTTTCATGGTACTGGGACTTTTTATCTTGAGCCATTACTCCCCCTCCTCCCCCTCATGCATGCGTTATAATCCCTATAAAACTGAGTACTTCAAGGAGAGAGTCTGTATCTATTTTGCCAATTTCCTTGCTACTTTGTAACATACCAAAATAATGACCATAGAATTAGTGGATTAAGTGATCAAAGCAAATTGTAATGCTCTTTTTCTCTCCTATGCAATTCTAATAATTTCCCAGGTCATGGCTGCAAAAGTCACAAAAGAAACAATCTTCCTACCCAACAAAATCAAACATCAAAAAAGCGTAACAAGAGGGTTCTGGGAGTGACTCAATGGTAGAGCGTTTGTCTAGGAAGCGTGAGACCCTAAGACCCTGAGTTTAAACCCCAGTATCGCCAGAAAACAAAACAAAACAAAAAAACAGAAAAACACAACCCCCCAACCCAAATCACCTCGTTCATGACTAGAAACGTGTACAAATTTCCTACCTGTAGTACTCTCTTCCTAATCTTTCATCTAGTTTAAATTCATTAAGGCCGCTGCAGTGAAACTCCAAGAGAGCAGGGATTTTTTTCCCCTGCTCTAATCCCCTAATGCTTGGAATTTAACAGGTGCTTATGAATATTTATTGGATGAATGAACTAGGTTTTTGCTTAAATGTCATTTCCAGGGATTCTAAACTGCAACTAAACTGGGTATTGCTCTATAAATATGTGCTTTCCCCCTCGATCTCATTTTTCTTCCCTACCTGCCAATCTCAAAACTATTCATGCAGAGTGCAATATCAGGGCTGCTGTTTCATTACAGCTCTGGAAAACCTTTCTGTTCGTGTCTTTGCAAGCTTTTGCAATAAACATTCTTTTAAACATGCTACCTTTTTCAGTCCTCCACTGAATACTTGGCCCCTGGAATACACGGATACCTTAAGGACAGGTCTGGAAACGTCGGGCAGGGGACAAGAACCCCCGACTCTAAATCTAATCAAGCGCTGGAGAAGCTGAAAAGCGACAGCAAACACTTTGTAAAGTGTCAATCCTTTGATCAAAGCAAAACACACCGAAGGCCTGGCCTAGGACAGGGCAGAGTCCTTGACCGAGAGAGCTGGAGGATGAGACCGACAGGGACCGTACAGAGATCGCCCTAAACGCCCTGACGCAGGTCAGAGACCGGGTTCCAGGACCTCGTCCCCGGGGTCGGGTGCTCGGTCTACAACTCCCTCGGAGGAGGCAGTCCTCCGTGCGGGACAGCGGTCAGCTTGGGGTATGCAACCGCCGCAAACCAGGAGGTTCATCCTCAAAGAGCGGGGAACCCAAGACTCCACAGAGCCACATTCCCTCTCGCCCCTCGCGGGGGTCTCGAGCCTCCCAGAAGCATCTGGGAGCGGGATCCCTCGTCACAACTCACCGCTCCGCCCCGCAGCTCCGTCCGTTCCAGTTCCCTTTTTCGAACCCGTCCCCGCACTAGCCGGCTTCAAAAACAGGAAAACAAAGGTTCCCGCAGCAGAGCCGGGGGGAACGTTTGACAGTGAGACAACAGGAAGTGATGCAACCCACCTCCTTCCGGTCCGCCGGATTATGAATGACGCCTGGTACGGGGATTTTCCAAACACACTACTTTTGAGTTTTTCCCCCCTGGTGTTTCTGGAAGCGAGCATTCGGCCGGCAGCGGCTCCCGGGAGTAGCCTCGGAATCCTGCGCCTTCCCTTCCAGCCGGCCCGTGTCGCCAATACGTTCACGTACCCTCCCTGCCTGGCCGCGCCTCTGCGACCAGGTAAAGAGGACACTCGGGCCTCCGGTCCTCGGCCCCCGCAACCCCCTAACGATTGCTCTGCGCATCGGGGGTCGGAAGGGCTTAGGATGCGGGGAAGGGTGGGAAGGGCTCAAATCATTGTTCCGATGTCTCCCGGGCCCTGACTTCGCCCCAGCTTCCGACGGTGCTGGTGGAGGGCTCCTCGACCCCCATCCAGTCTCCTCTGCTGGTGGAGGAATGGAGCAGCTTTCACTTGTAGGTTTTGTGAGGTCGTTTGCTGCTAAGCGTAGTTACAAGACCTCTGGGATCAGGCATTAACTCTTTTTCTTTGACAAACTTAGTTTTCCATTGCAGCCCTTCCTAATTGGAGGAAGCACTAAGGTGACTGCTACTTCACCATTACTCTAAAACGTACTTCATTTTAGAACATTTGCTTAGGTTACATCATTAAAGCAGTGTTTCTCTTTGGTTGTTAACTTGCATAGGAAATTGGAACTTAACTTGCATGAAGATTGATTTGGCTTCAAAAATGTTTACTTATACAGTACCTTCCCATCTCCCTCTACCTGGTTTTGGAACTAGGTGACATATATTTTTTTCTTATAATTAATGCTAGGATCCTAGTCTTTGACATAAATTCTTGAATGTTAAAAAGTGCCAGCATTTAATAATATAACTTGTTTTAAATTATTGATAAAGAAGGTAATGTACTTTTATTATTTTTTTCAGAGCTTATATGTAGAAACTGTATACAGGAGAAAGTGCAGAACCTAACAGGAAGTAGTGATGTGACAATTTAAAACATGTAAACAACATGGTCATTTAAACATGAAAATAAAATTAAGAACAAAAAATATTAAAATAAACTCGTAACACAACTGAGTGACTTGCTGTCATATTTTATAAACATTAAGCTATATATTTTTTGAACTGGCTTATGGGAAGCATACGCTACTGACATGATTGCCATATCTACTCATAACTTAAAACAGTTACACCTGAAGGAATCATTTTTTTTTCCCAGATTAAATATATGTATATTTAATATATATATAGCATAATATATTATAGCATATACATATACATATATATGTGTGTATATATATACACAAAAAAAATTCTCATTTATCTAAAGTTCAAGTTTCAAGTTGATATCGTGTATTTCCATCGCTAAATCTGGCAGTTCTAGCCTACAACCATCTTTTTTTTTTTTTTTTTTTTCATTTTTCTTTTATTATTCATATGTGCATACAGGCTTGGTTCGATTTCTCCCCCCCTGCCCACCCCCCTCCTTACCACCCACTCCACCCCTCCCGGCTCCCCCCCCCTCAATACCCAGCAGAAACTACTTTGCCCTTGATCTCTAATTTTTGTTGTAGAGAGAGTATAAGCAATAATAGGAGGAACAAGGGGTTTGCTGGTTGAGATAAGGAGCTATATAGGGCATTGACTCACATTGATTTCCTGTGCATGTGTGTCCTCTAGGTTAATTCTTTTTAATCTAACCTTTTCTCTAGTTCCTGGTCCCCTTTTCCTATTGGCCTCAGTTGCTTTAAAGGTATCTGCTTTAGTTTTCTCTGCATTAAGGGCAACAAATGCTAGCTAGTTTTTTAGGTGTCCCTTACCTATCCTCACCCTGCCCTTGTGTGCTCTCGCTTTTATCATGTGCTTTTAGTCCAATCCCTTGTTGTGTTTGTCCTTGATCTAATGTCCACATATGAGGAGAGAACATACGCTTTTTGGTCTTTTGGGCCAGGCTTAACCTCACTCAGAATGATGTTCTCCAATTCCATCCATTTACCCAGCGAATGATAAGCATTTCGTTCTTCTTCATGGCTGCAGTAAAATCCATTGTGTATAGATAGCACATTTTCTTAATCCATTCGTCAGTGCTGGGCATCTTGGCTTTCCATAACTTGGCTATTGTGAATAGTGCCGCAATAAACATGGATGTGCAGGTGCCCTCTGGAGTAACAGTCTTTTGGGTATATCCCCAAGAGTGGTATGGCTGGATCAAATGGTAATCGATGTCCAGCTTTTTAAGTAGCCTCCAAAATTTTTTTCCAGAGTGGTTGTACTAGTCTACATTCCACCAACAGTGTTAGAGGGTTCTTTTTCCCCGCATCCTCGCCAACACCTGTTGTTGGTGTTGCTGATGATGGCTATTCTAACAGGGGTGAGGTGGAATCTTAGTGTGGTTTTAATTTGCATTCTCCTTTATGGCTAGAGATGTGAGCATTTTTTCTGTGTTTTTCTGGCCAGTTTGAATTTCTTCTTTTGAGGAGTTCGTTTAGTTTCACATGCCCCATTTCTTTATTGGTTCATTAGTTTGGGGAGAATTTAGTTTTTTAAGTTCCCTCGTATATTCTTCGGTGTCAGTCTTGTCTGATGTATAATTGGCAAATATTTTCTCCCACTCTGTGGGTGTCTCTTCTTGTTGAGACCATTTCTTTTGATGAACAGAAGCTTTTTTAGTTTTATGAGGTCCCATTTATCTATGCTATCTCTTAGTTGCTGTGCTGCTGGGGTTTCATTGAAGAAAGTTCTTACCTATACTACTAACTCCAGAGTATTCCTACTCTTTCTTGTATCTTAAGAGTTTGGGGTCTGATATTAAAGATCCTTGATCCATTTTGAGTTAATCTTGGTATAGGGTTGTATACATGGATCTAGTTTCAGTTTTTTGCAGACTGCTACCAGTTTTCCCAGCAGTTTTTGTTGAAGAGGCCTGCTATTCTCCATCGTATATTTTTAGTTCCTTTGTCAAGATAAGTTTGCTCATAGTTGTGTGGCTTCATATCTGGATCTCTATTCTGTTCCCTGGTCTTCATGTCTGTTTTTGTTCTGCCAGTACCCATGCTGTTTTTATTGTTATTGCTTTGTAATATAGTTTGAAGTCAGGTATTGTGATACCCTCCTGCATTGTTCTTTTTGACTGAAGTATTGCCTTGGCTATTCGTGGCCTCTTGTGTTTTCCATATAATTTAACAGATTGATTTTTCAATCTCTTTAATGAATGTCATTGGAATTTTGATGGTAATTGCAATTAACATGTAGATTACTTTGGGGAGTAGCGACATTTTACTATGTTGATTCCTACCAATCCAGGAGCATGGAGATCTCTCCACTTTCTAAGTCCTTCCTCAATCTCTTTCTTCAGGAGTGTATAGTTTTCCTTGTAGAGGTCTTTCACATCTTTTGTTAGGTTTACACCTAGGTATTTGATTTGTTTGAGGCTATTGTAAAATGGAATTGTTTTCATACTTCTTTTTCCATTTGCTCATTGTTAGTGTATAGAATGCTAATGATTTTCTCTATGTTGATTTTTTACCCTGCTACTTGCTTTATAGCTATTGATGAGTGTCTAGAAGCTTCTGAGTAGAGTTTTTGGGTCTTTAAGGTATAGGATCATGTCATCTGCAAATAGGGATATTTTGACAGTTTTTTACGCTATTGTATTCTGAAGGAATCATTTGTAAAGGCCTATCTTCAAAAGGAAGATGGATGTCTGAGATTAATTGGAGTTGCTTTATTGGGTTTTTTTTTTTTTTTAAACACTTCTACTTTAAAGAATTTCCAGCTTAAACTTTTGTGGTAGTGGATCTATCAAATTTTGTTTTAAACCTGTTTCATTTTGTAGGTTTTATATCACCACCTGTGGATTGAAATAAAAATAGTACTTTCTATTCAATTGGCCTTTCTCATAGCAGCAGTTTAGCAGAGTTTGAAATATCTGGGGCTAATCAACTGACACATCTGTAGTATATACAGGTCCATGGTATCTGTTGTTTTTATCCTCAAGTATTCAACCTGAGATTTGTTGTGATAAGTACTTGGCATGCAGGAATTTAAGCCTTTAGATCATGACAAGCACAATTATTGTTTGCTGAAGGAATTAAGTAATTTCTTTTTCATGCCTGCTGATACTTCTTACATGTTAGCATTTCAGGCTGTGGATCCCTTTTAATTATGAAGTCAGACTTGGCTGCAAGAACTATGACTGTCTTGCAACAGGTGATTCCCTGATTCTCCAGAGAGATTGTGTGCTTCTTTTATAACTAAGATTATTGTAAGCTTTTTTTATTTTCAGACTTTCTGGTTTTTTAAAATTTCTTGCCCAGATTAGAAAACAGCTCATTTTAGGATGGAACTGGAGAACATTAATCTGAGTGAGGCCAGGCTCAGAAGACCAAAAATTGTATGTTCTCTCTCATATGTGGACTTTAGATCTAGGGAAAATACAGCAATGTTGTTAGACTTGGGTCACATGACAAGGAGAGAGCACATGCAGGAGATACAGGAATAGGTAGAAAACCCAAAACATGAAAGCATTTGATGTCCCCACTCCAGAGGAACTAATTTAAAAAAAAAAAAAAAAAAGCTCATGTTAATCACTGTTTCCTATGTTGCATAATGAAATGAGCGCTGAAAAGCTGTTCTCTTTTTCTTTCCTTGTTTGACCATTAATGTTTAAGGTAATTAGCTGTTACATCTCTACAGAGAAGCAAGCTTTAAAAAAATACATATTATTGTAATAAAATAGGATGTCAAATAGTGCTGCTTCTATGAAAGGTATAAAACATGAGCTAAGTGCTAGTGTTCAAACATTTGGTGTTGAAGAACTTAAACATTTAAATTTCAATCTTTGAGGGAAATAAGTTTGTAATTTTTCATACTTGTAAACTGTGTCTAACTACTTAGTTGTATAATATATTTGGTTAATGTGTA